TCCCATTAGCTTTATACATCATCCCTGGGGAAATAGTGCTGATAGATGTGTGAGATCAGGCAGGTGGATTTTCTTTTCATCACGTATGCTGGAAAAGCCTTCCACTGCTAAAAGCAAGAGGAGACTGAGCCAGCTCAGAGGAGACTGATAATGATTCACCTGGAGGGTCATGGCTGGATTTCAGGCCCCTTGCTCTCCACTGGTGCCTGGATGCTGCCCAGCCCAGCAGGTAGAGCAGGATCTGGCCCAGAACAGCACTGACTTAGAAGGACTTTCCTTTGGGCTGGACTCCCCACTTCCCCTTGCACGGACACTGGTCCTCTCCCAGCACAGCATTTCACCCCAGCAAATTCCCAGAACAACCACGGGCTGAAGCAGCTTTTCTGTAACAGAGGAGAGATGGCTTCCCTGGCTGTGCCTGCCCTTTCTCACTCCGGTGTGTTTGTGCTCCCCCAGAGCACACCGAGCTGGCACTCACACACACCCACCCACATCAGGGATATGAAGGAGCCTTGGGCACGAGATCCACAGCAGCTTTTGCATGAACACTGCGAGTGCTGAGGTTTTATAACCCAGAAAATCTGGGCTCTGAAGGGCTCTATCTGGCGGGGCAGGAGGCATGCCGCCCTGCCCAGAGCCACTTTTATGCCATTGTGCCTTTTCAGCATTGCATTAAGGCAGCCAAAGAAGGGGGATTTTTAATGGTTTCAGGGGAACAAAGCGGAAACATTCGGCCCAACTTCATTACAGAATCATCTGAAACGCTTGAGGAACGTTTCCCACTAATTATCATAAATAGCCGAAAAAAATCTTTCCCTCCCAAAGCAGGTTCCAGCTGCCCCTCTGTGTTTTCTCACCTTCACTTCCAATAGCCTGACCCTGCCCCCGCACAAAGGGGAGACCCCATCTCCGCTCCCCCCCACACTCAGAGACTCTAAAGAAATACAAACAGGCAGCAGATTAACAGCACTTGTTTGCACCTTAAACAAACAGAGACTTCCGCCCCTCTGGGCTCTCCCACTGCTCGAGGGTGGATGCACCGGCTTGTTTTTCTTGCCCTCGCTCTCATGCTCTGCCCCAAACCCTGGATAAAAGCCTGGGCAGCCCAAGGCATGAGGTAGGCAGGATGGGAGTGCTGGCGGTGCCAGCCCCACCCCCCCCATTTGAGCCCTGTCCCCCATGCTGGGTGTCCTCTCCCTGCCCCATGTGCCCTGGGGGAGGTGAGGCCCCCGCTGCAGGAGGGCTGTGAGATGCCAAGGCCAAAGCAGATGAATGAATGTCCCAGTTCAGCTCCTGCCCCCTGCGTCTCACGGGGCTCCTTGGCAAGGGGCAGCTTGATGTGGCTGGATGGGTACTGTGAGTGGGTGTGGGGAGGGCTGCTGCAGATGAAGGATGGAGAGGGAGAGACGAACCATCCAGAAGACACATGGAGGAGTGGTGCTGGTGTTCAAAACCAACACCAGCATCGAGGGGGCACAGCAGCACTGAGCAACGACTGCCAGCCCAGGGCCATCTCTGCTGAGCGCAATAGGGGGTGAATGAGTGCTGCACTTGCCTGCCCAGCTAGTCCTTGGGCTGATGCCAGCAGCTGCAGCTGCCCCTGCCAGAGAGCTACCCTGGCTCAGGTCCTCAACCTGCAGGTCCCAGGTCACCCATCCCACCTCTTCCAGCAGCATCACCAGCACCTCCCTGCTCCTATAGGATCAGGTGCCAAACCAGCCCTTTCTTGCCCTGCCCACAGCACATGGAGCAGCCAGCCCCCAGTCCTTCCATGCCAACTGAAACCACACCAGCAGCCATTGAGACACTGCTCCCAGCACAGCTCTGCACGTGTTCAGGACAGGCACACGAGGCAGGCACCTCATGAGGAAGTCATGGCAGCGTGGCCACAAGTTGGGACATGTTCCCATCATAAGCCAGCAGTGAAACTTGCCTGCCAAAAGCCCAGGCTTGCTGCTCACCCAGGTTATTGTGCAAATCCCCTCATGCAGGTGTTCATTGCCCCACTTCCCACCAGCCACAATAAAGAGTTCTTTCTCACAAGCCCCTTTCCTGCCCATGGGGTGCCCCAGGGGCAGGAGGGGGAACAGAGGCAGGTGGAAGGAACACACCCGCAGTGTGGGGGTCTCCCAGCAGGGCTGACAGGCAGAGGGGTTATAGGTCGGCACTGCAGCATGAGTGACAGAGCTGTGGGAACCACTTCTCACCTGCACAGGGCAGGAAGAGAGCCAGTGGCAGCTCTGAAACTTCCAGGCCATGCTGGAGACCCCTGATCCCAGCACTACTCTAGGACACACATGCATGGTGTCCTGTCTCTGCTTCTAACTTTGGTCACCTGAGGTGAGCTATGAGGACCTCGGGCAATCACAGTAACCAGGAAGAGGTGTACAGTGCCACAGGCAGCCTGGAGATGCCACACGGGGATGCTCACACTTTTTTTTTTCCCAAAGCAAAAACCAGGGGCATCCTATGCAAGGAGCAGCAAGCAGAGGGAGAGTGAAGGGAGGTGATATCTTGTTCGGTGCATGGGCAATCCTGGGCATTCCAGCCCAGCTATAGCCCTCTAAGGATTGTTCCTAACGTGATGGAGGGAGGTGACTCCTGCCTGTGAGCCAGCTGCACCAGCCTGGCCCCGGGAACATGGGCGGCTGTATTTTCATTGCAAATTAGAAATCAATCATAGCAGGAAATTCCCGTGCTGAGAACACCCTTGGCTGTCATTATTTTACAGCACTCTGAGGTGTTCTGGGCACTTAGAAAGACATGGCCCTTTTGGGGTATTATGGGGCAAATTAGTTTTAAAGGCAGCTGTAGGAATGTTAGCCATTTGGTTTCCAGAGCCGGATGGGCACAGGTGGAGGCTGCAAGGCTTTGTGCTGCCTTCAGATACACCACCACTCTGCAAAGAGGGAACCAGCCCGCTCCGGAGAGAACACCTCACGCCTGACCCCAGCTTTATTAATAACAAGTAATTAATACGAGAGCGGACGTGCCTTGTGTCTCTGAAGACCTTTTAAGATGTGATTATGTTGTGCTAATCTCACCCCGAAGTACTTCCCTGTTTAGACTGCGCTGGGCCATTAAATATCTGAAAAGCCAGCGGAGACCCCCCCTCATTGCCCCGGGAAGTGCTCGGGGTCTGTTCCCCAGCAGCCAGGCCCCACTTTCAAACCCTCTAAATCAAGTATTAAGCCGAGTCCATCTGGACTGCCAGAAAAAACACTCCCTCTCCCTCATCTGTATCTCATTACCTGCCGTGCCAGCCCCAGCCCCGGAGCTGCTCGCTCCATCCCGCCCAGATGTGCTGCCCTACGCTCGCCTCCCGTATTTCACAGCCGTCAGCAGGACTTCAAGGAATAGCTGAAGGGCCTGTAACACTGCACAGGTTCTTAGCAAAGAGGTATATCCAGGTCCCTAATGCATAGCTGCAGGCACGTACCCTAACACAAAGCCCCTTTCCCCCTTCCCTGGTCTTACACCAGGCAAGGGAACTGGTCCCAGGGAACTGGGCACCAGGCTCAGGGTTTGCTGGCAAGGAGGTTTCTGAGCTGCTTTTCTGTTTTTCCTTGCAAAACACATGTCCAGACTATTGATTTTCAGGGACTCTCCCCTTGGGACCCCGCAAAGCCAGGCAGCCCCACAACAGGGGAAGGGCATCCAAAGGCAGGACAGGACAGAGCAGGTGCCAGTGGCAAAGGCAAGGAGTTGAAGACAGACACCTGCAACTCTAGAAACTGGAGTGACTGAATTTGGGAGCAGCTTACCTTGCACAGGGCAAAGTCAACACTGAGCCTAGAGCCAAAAAGCTACCCAGAGACCGAAATCAGGGAACAACTCCTGTGTTCATTGGCTCAAATTCTGGAATAAAGCTTCCCAGGCAAGGTTTCAGCACTTTCTGCAATGGCAGAAACCTCTCTTTTGTTGAAGTTTGGCGCTTCCCTAGGCCTTGCAGGAGCCCAGGACTGGAGGTGAAGGTGCACATCAACCCTTCAGTTGTAAGAAGCATTAGCCCCTTCCTCCTAAGCTTCCCAAGAGCCAGTGTCCAGCCTGCAGCAGGGGCTCAGCATTAGGTGAGGTCATGGTAGAAAAGTACATGGCTGGCCATGCTGAAACATCACTCTACCAGAGGGGCCAGGGCAAGCAGCACTGTCAAGAGGTTTTGGGGGACATGAGGTTTAAGAGGGGGAAGAAAAGCACATCTGTTGTCTCACTGTGTTGCTGCCTGTGGAGGGTGTGCAGCCCTGGTCCTACACTAGTCTCCAATGGCTGGCACTGACTGGGGACCCCACACTCCAGCAAGCAACAGGAACATGCCACAGCAGGTCATGGCAAGAAAAGCATTGGGATGAAAATAATCCTCTTGTCAGCCCAGAGGTGCAGGGGGGGCTTTAATATCACGGAGGAGGAAAGAGAACAGGAGAGGGGAAGAGGAGTACAGGCACTGACACATCCCGTAATATGGCACGGGGAAGAAGACAGAGTGCGGGGCAGGAAGCCTTGGCATGTCCTTCCCCAAGGACTGCAGGTACCTTCCAGGGCTGGCGAGTCGATTCGGGCCGGGGCTCCTGACCCTGCGAGCAAGAGTGGCCGCGTCCGCGGTGCAGTGGGTCCTGGCCGGCGTGGGCGGGGGCTCTGGCATTTCAGTGGCCGCAGGAAGGCGGTGGCAGCCACTGCCTGTGTCGGGATGCCATCTAGTGTCGTTTGGCAGAAGGGCCGTCAGGCAGGGACATCGCGTATAGGGTTCCAGTCTGCGAGCATCGCCGGGCGTCAGTTGGAAGGCATCCCAAAACGGCCTGGCTACTGGGACCCCTATCCTGGGAACGGCCTGGGTGTCGGGTCCCCCACCCTGGGAACGGAGTGGGTGCTGCGTCCCCCACCTTGGGAACAGCCTGAGTGCTGGGTCCCCAGCCCCAGGGATACGCACACCCTGCGGCCAACACGGCTCCGTATCCCAAAGAAGGACAACAAGTACAGCCCAGGTCACACAGGGGCAGCGAAGCTTAAAGTGGTGCCTGAGCTGGCTCGGGGGTCCCCGGATCAGCCAGAGCCTGAAGGCTCAGCAGCCTCACAGGCGGCCCGGGGCGGTGTCGTGTGTCCTGGTGAAGGAGAAGGGCGAGCATCCCCCACAGCAGCGTGCAGGCTGCCTGCAGCGCCAGCGCGGCCAGCCCCAGCGCCAGGGACAGCCGGCACTGCCGTGGACTGGCCCGCAGGGACCAGCCCCAGGCACGATGACCGCTGGGGGCCAGGGGCGGGGAGGCCGGGCAGGGGCTCGTGTGGTCTGGCGGCAAAGGGGTGGGAGGCATTGGGAGTAGGACGGTGCCTGCCGGGGCAGGAGCATGTTGGGGAGCACTGGGGGTGGGCTGGGTGCCAGCTGGGGACAAGTCCCATGTGGTGGCATGGTCCTGCTCCCTGCCTGGTGCAGGAGCATGGTAGGATGGGGAGTGTGAGGCCAGTGGGACCATGCCCAGTGCAGCAGTCGTGGGGGATGGCCAGAGTGCCATGGAGGGGGCTGAGACAAGGGAGGTTTTGGGTGTTCCCTGTGGGATGGTGGCTGGCCTCTCCCTGGGCACTGAAAGAGCAGGAGGCACTTGTCTGGTGGTGGTTGCCAGTGGTCTGGTGGGCACCAGAAGAACAGGAAGCACATGTCTGGTGGTGGCTGCCAGCGGGCTTGTTGGCACCTGCGTGGTGGCAGAAGCTAGAGTGGATGGCACAGGTTCTGGGTGGGTGGCCCCAGGAGACTGTAGGCTTACGATGGCTGAAGTTGGCACAGCTGGTGATGGGCTGGTGATGAAAGCCCTGAGCGTCACGGTTGATGATGATGGTGTGGCAATGGAGGCTGTTGGCAGCACAGTTGTTGGTGGGGTGTTGATGAAGGTCTCTGGCAGTGCAGTTGGTAATGGGGTGGTAATGGAGGCCTTTGGTATCATGGTTGTTGATGGTGTGGTGATGAAGGACTTGGGCACATTGGTTGTTGATGGGCTGTTGCTTAAGGCCTTCTGAAGCACAGCTGATGGTGGGGGGGTGACAAAGGCCTTAGATGGCACGGTTGGCAATGGAGTGCTGAAGGTGCCCTCCGTTGGGACAGCTGGCAACATAGCAGAGGTGACCACAGGTGACAGAACAGTTGTCGATGTCCTGATGGGAAAGGCTGCCAATGACAGCAAGGTTGGCATTGCTGTGGACGAGCCTCCAAGTGATGGCAAAGTTGACATCCTTTGTGATGATGTGAAGTTAAATGGCAGAGATGGGATAAAAGAAGCTGAAAGAGGCAGAGTAGCTGGGCAAATTAAGTGGTCATCCCTCAGCAATGTAACTGCTTGCCCTGCCAGATGGGGTGGGCTCTTGCATGAGACTTGGGTGGCCAATTTGATCTTCTCACTGTTACTCAGGATCCAGCTGTGCAGGGAGCAGAGGTTGCAATCACATCTCCATGGGTTACCACTCAGATACACTGAGCTGAGCTTCTTCAGGGGGTCCAGGAGCCCTCGGGGAACACTCTCCAGCTGGTTCTTTCGAAGGTTGAGGGTTTTCAGATTTGGGAGAGAAGCAAAGACCTCTTCATCCAGAGCAGAGAGCTGATTTGTGTCCAGCTGGAGGTCCAGAAGCTTGCTGAGCCCAGTGAAGGCTCCTCTTGGCAGGGCTAACAGCTGGTTGTGGGACAAGATGAGTTTTCCAAGGGATGTGAGGTTGACAAAGATGCCATCTGGAAGTGTGGCCAAACTGTTCCTGCCCAGGTCCAGCTCCCGTAAGTGTGGCATGGTGTCAAAAAGGCAGCAGGGGAGCTCCATGATATGGTTTGAACCCAGAGTCAGCAGCTTCAATTTGTTTAAACCAAAAAAGCCCTGAGGTGGGAGAACCCTGATGAGATTGTTGTCCAAGAGGAGTTTCTCCAGGTGAGGCAGGCTTCTCAGGAACATGGGTGGCAGCGCCCTGAGCCTGTTGCTCTGGAGGCTGAGCTCCAGCAGCTCCATCTGGCTGTCCAACAGTCCCTCTGGGAGGTCTTGCAACTCATTCTCATACAGCCGGAGGACCTGCAGCCGGGTAAGTTTGCTAAAAGCATTCACAGGAAGAGTTGTGATCCTGTTTCTAGACAGGTCCAAAAAGGTTAAATTGATGAGAAAATCAAAAATGCCTTCTGGAAGAGAAGGGATTGCATTGATGTGCAGGGAGAGCTCTCCCAAATTTTTCAGCCCATCAAAGAGGCCTTTGGGGATGTATCTGAGTTGGCTGTCTCTCAGCTCCAGCCTCTGTAAGCTTGGGAGGTTTTGGAAAGTGCCCACAGATAGTTCTTCTAATGAGGCACCAGAGATATCCAAGTCCCTCAGCTTGTCCAGATTATCAAAGGCTCCAGGTTCAACTGTCTTGATCTTGTTGCCAATAAACAAAATCTTGATCAGGTTGGGCATGTACCTGAAGGCACCTTTCCTTATAGCAGTGATGCTGGTTTGCACAAAGATCATTTCAGAAACAAAGGGCTTTGCAATCTTTGGGATCTCTTTGACATCATTTTTTGTCCCTCTGTAGACCTGCTGGTAGTCTTTGGGCATTTCATATGGATCTTCACCCAGGATTTGATCTTGGCATTTATGGGGATGGAAGGAGAGGAAGAAAAGGAAAAGGAAATGCTGGTACATTGTCTTGGAAAAAAAAAGGTTTAAAAAAATCAGTTATGAAGAACAAAAAACCTGTGTTCACAGCTCATGAATTGTGGCATCACACTGTTGTTCAGCTCTCGGGACTCTTCTACTCATATATCATAACTCATTCAATAAGAGAGAGACCATACAAGCAAACACACACTGCATTTAGTTGAGTTCACTGCTGTGGTACAGAGGGATGGGGAGGGAGAGCGAGCCAGCTCATGGCTTGGCACTGGCAGATGCTCCAGGGGGACAAGGGCTGGACAGTGTGTTCTCTGCCCTCCTTCTCCCATGTCTCAGCTGCAGGCTTGGTGTCTGCCTGGGTGAAGAAGGCAAAGTGCTGCTGCCCATTAGTGCTGCCCCAGTGGGTCCAGTTAGTCAGCAGGGAAACAGCCCATTCATGCAACAACAGAAGCAGTCAGCCCTGCACTTGCTAATGGGGGATCAGCAAGGGTCCCAGGAGGCAGCCAAGACCAGAGGATCTTGTGTACTCGGAATTTCCACACCATGCTGGGTGGACTTGCTATTTCCTTGCTGCTTCTCTCAGTTCAGGGCAATCATTTAAAACATGGCTCCTAAGCATCTCCTTTTCAGGATTCTTGCTAATTGCACCATATTTTGGCCTTAGTTGTGCAGCTTTGTCGGACAGAAATGAGCAGCAACCAAGCTTTAGAGTAAGGCTTGTTAAAACACTATGAAATGTCCATAGATGAACTCTTTATTACCTAAGGTTTAGGGCTCTGGCCTTGCAGGTAGAAAGTGAAGTCACTGATGCACACCCATTAGTAGAGCCCACCACTTCCATGGAAACATTTGGAAACACTCAGCTACCTCCTTAGCTGGGGTTTAACGGCCGTGAGCATTGCACTGGGATCGCAGTTTCCAACTTTTGATTTGCAGCCGTGGGTGGGAGCAGGGAAAAGAGCTATAGGTTGCTTCTTGGTGTCCGTCAAAGCTGACATGCAAAAACCTTATGTTGAGAGGGTACATTAGCTGTGAGAAGTTTGGTTTTTTTAAATGTTAAGAGCTCAGCAAATACAGGAGGCTGAAAGCCACTGGGTTTGAAGAGAAACCAATGGGAGGTGGTGACATTGGTTGTGCCGGCTGCCCTGCAGGGTTGCCCAGGGCAGAAGCCATTGCTGATCCCTGCCCATCCTCTCCTCAGGGAGACTCAGGTGGAGGAGCTGGGGCTGCAGGTGTAAAAGTGCCTGCTTCACTTCAGCTGCAGGAGCAGCACAGTGGGTGAAATGTGCAGGTGGAAACAGCTGGGTGTATGGGGATGAAAACAGACAGTTCTGAACTGCAAAGCTCTTTTAAAACCCTCAGTGTGATCCCTTGCTTGTCCCACCCTCCAGCAGTGCAGGGTCATGAAGGGGCGTCCCCATCCAGCTCATGGCACTGAAGCCTCTCCTGCTTCTTGCTGCAAGGAAACAATCAACAGCCCCCCACAGGGCCCCTCCCAGAACATTTTAAAGAACAAAAAAAGCTTTTGTATCACTTACTTGGCGGAGCACTCACAGACAAGTCCAGGCTGCAGGAACAAACCACGTGTGGAGTGAGGACACCGGATGGGGGTCCCATCACCTGGCCAGCTCTTTATCTGCAGCCCAGGCCCAGGGCCTGGTTTCAAGTGAGTTCAGGGCACAGGTCTGTGTGGGGAGATAAGGGACGGCCAGGGAGGTGGCAGCAGAGCTGTGCCCTGGTGTGGGAGGCCATGGCAGAAACCCCTCGGAGAGGACTCAGTCACGTACTCCCAGGCGTTATCTCCTGGCTCCACTTGACTAGTCACATCCAGGGAAACCTGAAGATTTCCAGGCCAGCCTGTTTTGCAGCCAATGGTCTCTGCAGTCCCATATCTCCAGCAGCATAACCCACCAGCATCAGAGGCACCACCCCCACCGACACAAACAGTAAGCTGTTTCCTTCCTCAGGATTCAGCTTATGTAGCTAAAGGTGCAGTTCTGGAGCCATTTGTTTATGCTCATAATAGTGATAACATCTGTGGCTGGACAGATATGCCGACATCCACGCTCTGTGCTCAGCCCCACAGCTCCACACCAGAGGGCTGGGGCTGAGTGTCCTGTCCTGCACCCTAACACAGGCCAAAGACCCTCCTGCAGGGACACCCAGGGCTGCTGGCTGGTGCAGGGCATCCTGTGGGAAGAAACACCCTTTTTGATGCAAAGTCTTGAACTGACTGGGTATCCATCACTTCCCAACGGGTAATTGCACTGATTGCATTTAAACATGTCTTCTTTAGTTTTCACCTGCACTTATTAAGGCTCAGCTTGTGCTTGCTGGGCTTCATTGCACCTTACTTGGCAATTTTAAAAACAAACCACTGCACATTTTCAACAGCCTTACTCCTTTCCAACATCAATGCCATATGCATCCAGGTACCCACTTGGTGCCAGGTTGTTCCAGAAGCTGCAGAGTGGCAGGAGCTGAAGTGCATGAGGGGACAGAGCTCACAACAGGATTGCAACCAGCCACCCCAGACCACAGTGTGGCAGCTGTGCCAGGGTTTGGGGAACTGCGTCCAGCTGTAGTACCCTTGGTCCAGGCTTGGAGGTGGCCATGCCAGCATCACCTGGGAGATGTCTGAAGCACAGTGGCAGTCCCCCATTTGGGAGAGACAGCAGGATGATTGTGCAGAATTGTATCTGGGAAGCAGTGTTGCCTGTCTGCATTGCTCCCAGGAGCATGGGGCTGGCAGTCATAGAACCATGTATGCTGGAAAAGATCTCTAAGATCACCGAGTCCAACTGTTAACCCAGCACTGACAAGTCCACCACTAAAACATATTCCTAAATGCCACATTCACACATTTCTTTAACCCAGAGGCTAAAGCAGGGCTGGGATCGCAGCCCACTGCCAGGGCAGGTGGGGCCAAGGGGAGACCCTGCCCACCCCAGGTGGGCAGCAGCAGGGCAGGGGCTCCAAGGACACATAGCCCAGCAGTGGGGCCGGGCCGGGCCGGGCGGGGCCGGGCGGGGCGCTCCGAGGGGGGCGGCGGGGCTCAGGGAGGGATCCCCCATCGCTGCCCGGCCCGCGGAGCCCTGTCCCTATCGCCGCGAGATGGTGCCGCAGCACCGCCCCACCACCAGACACACACGCACTTACACCCCGGTGTGTGCACCCACACCCGCTCCTCCCGCGGGAGCACCCACCTTACCTGCCACCCCCTGCGTGGGCAGCGCTGCTGGGACTCTGTGTCTCCTCTCCACGGGTCACAGAATCAGCATCACAGGATAGATGAGGGGTGGAAGGGGCCACTGAAAGTCATCTAATCCAACCTCCCCGCTGAAGTAGGGCTCCCTGGGGTGCATTGCTCAAGGCTCTGTTTAGGTGGCTTTTGAGTATCTTCAGAGAAGGAGACTCTACAGCCTTGCTGGGCATCCTGTTCAGTCACCCCACAGTAAAGTTCTTCCTCCTGTTCAGGTGGAATTTCCTGCATTCCAGCTCCAGGGCTGCAGACCAAGCCCTGGCAGGGTATGGGGGGACCAGCCAGTGGATGCCTGGGCTGGAGCTCACCTGCAGCCAGGCAGCCCATGCCCCTTGCTGGGTAGTCAGTAGCAATCACCCATGCTTCCCTTGGACACCACAAAACCATGCCCTGAGAGTTATTGTCAGGCTGCAGCTGGGTGTCTGCAGTGCCAAGGGAAGCAGGGCAGGAGGTGGGGCTGGTGGGCTGCAGAGGGCAGAGATGAGCACACCATGAGCATGCCAAAGAGCCACCTACTCACCACAATGCACCTGCACCCACACCATACCATGCACAGCCCCAGACCAGACCCCAATGGATCACATCGAGCTTCACTGCCTCTCCCAAGTACACAGGCAGATGTGGGGGAACAGAACGATTCCTCTCTCTGCCATAGGAACTGGTTGCACAGAAATAATATATACATTTTAACTATATTTGAAATATACAGGAAACACATAGCTTGGAGAATAAATACCACCAGGCCAGCTGTTGTGGAGAGCTCAGTGATGGCTGGTGATCAAGGCAGGGATAGCAGAGCAAGACTGGGTGCTGTTTCCCAGGCTGGCTCAGAGGTTTCTAGTGCAGAAGCTGGCACCTGCCTGAGCTCTAGGGCACAGCAGGGAGACCTGGCGATGTGGCCTCATTCCCGCTCTGTGCTGTGACAAGGACACTGACCTGCAGTGTGCCACAGTGGGAGTGCAGCACCCAGGCACCCTGGTACGCCGGCCCCAACCCCTGCACTTGCTCAGGAGGAGAAGGAGGAGGGAGGCGAAGGCTGAGCTGCTGGCAGCTTGTGGCATCACAGACCATGCTTACAGTGCCCTCAGGGTTGCTGTAGGTGCACTGTCCTGCAGCATCCCTGTCCCAGCCTTCCTCTGGGGGGACACCAGGTACTCCCGGGCACTCCAGCTGCCCCCGGGGGACCTGCAGCAGGGACTGTCCCTGGAGAGCAGTTGGACTGGCACAGAAGGGTTGCCCATGGATGAGGGGCTCAGCAAAGCCCTGGAGCCAGTGCAGGAGATAGGCAAGGCGGCAGTCACAGGCCCAGGGGTTGTCAGACAGCCCCACACGCACCAGCTCATCATTGGCATCGAAGAGCCCCAGGGGCAGGCGGGCCAGGCGGTTGTGGTCCAGTGCCAGGGCAGTGAGGTGGGGTAGTCCAGCCAGGAGCCCTGCTGGCAGGCTGGAGAGGTTGTTGTGGCTCAGCTGTAGTGCTGTCAGTGCTGCCAGTCCCTGGAAAACCTCAGTGGGCAGGTGGTCCATGGCATTGTGTGAAAGCACCAGGGTCTGCAGTGCTGACAGGTTGGAGAAGAGCTCCCGGGGCAGCGTCTCCAGCTGGTTGCGACCCAGCGAGAGGTGGAGGAGGCCGGGTGTGCCAGTGAAGAGGGTGGCTGGCAGGGTGGCCAGGCGGTTGCCCTCCAGGCTGAGGACAGTGAGGTTGAGGAGACCAGTGAAGATGTCGGGGGCCAGGCTGCCCAGGGCATTGTGCTGCAGCTGCAGCCGCCGCAGCCCCCCCAGCCCGCTGAAGATGCCGGGTGGCAGCTCCTCCAGCCGGTTACCATCCAGGTGGAGCTCAGTCAGCTGGCCAAGCGCCCTGAAAGCGCCGGGGGGCACCCGCACCAGCAGGTTGTCGCTGAGTTTGAGGAGGCGGAGGGCAGTGAGTGGGGCCAGCAGCCCCTCTGGCAGCTCAACCAGGACATTCTGTGAGAGGTCCAGGGCCTGGAGCTGCCGGAGTGGGTGGAAGATGCCAGGGGGCAATGCCACAATCCTGTTCCCTGGCAAGCGTAGGTCCTGCAGGCTGCATGCAGCAGTGAAGAACCCTGGCTGCAAGGAGCTGATGGCATTGGCACCCAGGGAGAGCTTGCTGAGGTTGGTCAACCCCATCAGCACCCCAAGGTTGACTGCTGGCAAGGGGTTTCCTGACACCTCCAGCTCGGTCAAGCTGGGCAGCCACTGAAAGGCACCGGCTTCCAGCTCCTGGATGTTGTTGTTGAGGAAGACCAGCTTGGTGAGGGTGGTACTGGTGCCCAGGGCCCCCCTGCGGACACTGCTCAGGCCTGTCTCCACAAAGAAGAGCTGTGTGGCACCGCCTGGCAGGCCCGCCGGGATCTCCCGCATCCTCTCGTCTGAGCAGAAGACTTTGGAGGTGTCGTAGCACTGGCAGGTATGGGGGCAGGATGGGGGCAGCCCCCTCACCAGCAGGGACCCCAGCCCCAGCAGCACGCAGATCACCAGCCTGCACTGTAGAAGGATCCAAGCCTCACCCCCTGCCTCGACAAGGCAGAAATCTGCACCCACAGGCAGGAATGGGGAGTGCTTCCCTCCCACATCTCTCCCCAGGGTTCTTACCCTCTGTCTCAGCCTGCCCTACTACAACTAGAGTGGTGCCACCCTCACCAAAGATCCCCACATCCTGCAGAGCAGTGACTGAGGTGAGACCCATGTGGGTCTGTGGAAGGAAACTGTCTTGGTGGGAACCTGTAGCCTCATGAGATGTCTCCAAGGGCACGAAGCCAGGCTCTGGGGCAGGGGAGCATGTGAAGCACAGGGCTGTGCTGCATACAGTGGGTGATGGGGACAAAGCTGAAGGGCTGCTCTGCGTTGGGGCAACAGAAGTGGGCTCCAGCAGTTGTATTTCCAATTGCCCATCGGGTACTTCTTTTGCCACAAGCAACTAGAGCAGCATTAAACGTCCCCAAGGGATATTCAGCCTGACCAAATGCCTATTCCCAGCCTATGGGAGGCACTTTTTGAGGCAGTGACCTCCAGACCTCTGCCAGTCCCTCCTTACTTGGGATACCCGCCAGTGCTGCCTCATGGTGGGGGATGTTGCCCACCCCCTGCAGACACCCCTCATCAGTGGGGCTATCCTGGACTTACTCCGACACTTGAGAGCAGCGCTGGGCTTGGCGTTTCCTTTCCACCACCTCGCTTGTTTTCAGCAGAGCCAGCAGTGGCTCCCACCCGTCCCAGGCCCCCCAAACTACCCAAGCACTGTGGCCCCACCACTTACCGAATGTGGCATCGTGGAGATGGTCAGCAAACCTGTGCAGGTTTGCAGGGATGCTGCTTGCTGAGATGGGACAGTGTTTTCTGGGGCGGATGGGAAGCCAGCAGACGAGCTGTTCCTGCTGGGGCGGAGCTGCCCCTCACTGCTTATCGGCAACAACAACCCGTGTCCTTGGAACACTTTGAAAAATAACCCAACCCTGGAGGACTGGAGGTGAGGCCAGAGGCAGCCGCCCGTGAGCATCCTGGCAAGGAAGTGGTGTCTTGGCCCCGGACATCCACTGGCCCAGGGATAGTGGCAAGGGTGGCTCCAGTTCCACACTGAGGTCAGCAGGCTTGCTTCCAGAAACCCCCTAGGAGAGCCCCAGGACTTTATTAAATCTCACTGGGAAATGATGCTAGAAGCATCTGTGTCACGAGAGAGGGGACCAGGCACAGCTTAGCAAGGCAAATGAAGGTTGGACTTTATGATGTTAGGGTCTTTTCCAACCTTAATGATTCCATGATTCTGTGGGGAGGGGACCACTGTGGGACCATCATGGCGACAACAGGTGTTTTGCATCCCAGCCAGCAACGGGATGGCAAGGGACCCATGGACCAGCTGCACTCACTAGGAATTTCAACCTGCCTGGGGAAGCAGCACACAGTACCGTAAGGGCTGCATTGCAAGGGCCTGTATTGGAACAGGGCAGGGGGGCAGCACCATGGAGGGTCAGGAGGGGGGGGTCACTTTACTGCTGGCCTGATGGAGCAGACAGTGATACACAGAAAAACTCAGCTGACACAGTCCAGCAGCAGCCAGCTCTGAAGGGAGCCAAGCAAGCTCCTCCCCACCCCAGCAGTGGATTGCACAGGATGCAGTCAGTGTCTCCATTGAGAAGCTCCTGTGGTCTCAGCTCACTTCAAGAGCCATTTGCTGCTGCTGGATGGCTGAGCCCTTCTTAGTCCCTCACCCCAGGCTGGAGTCCAGGGACCAGCAAGGACTCTGCAACAGCAATCCACTAATCTTCTCCCAGCCCCACCAGCCTGTACGGGCTTTCTCTCAACACTACAAAAACTGTTTAGGAGTGGAAATCAAGCACAGCCCCTGTCCTTGTTGGGCCATTCCCCTGCTGTACACCATGGAGTGAATAAACAGTTCTTGGCACTGAGGGTGGACAAAGGTACTTTAATGGAAAGGTCACACATCAGCACCCAATGGCCCCATGACACAGTTCTGTGCACCAGCGTGAAGCTGCTTGTGCCAGCACTGCCTCCTGAGGTACTGTGAGCAGCCAGCACTATGGGATGGCCACTGAGTGTGACCCTTGTCCCATGGCAGCAATCCTCAGGCAGCCTGGTGCCACTGCATGGAGGTGAGCTGGACTCCTCTGTGGCTATGCTACAGCTGGAGAAGGCTGGGTGTTCACTGGATGCAGGTGCTGGGCGGGCATGGTGTGGCACCCATTTATGAATTGCAGAGCAGCTAGTGCTTGCTGACCCCTCCACTGTGTGCTGCCAGCATTCCCACTGCCCAAGGGCTGTGAACAGACAGGGAGACTGGGCACATACAGGCAGGGCACTCAAGAGAGGAAGAAGAGTGTGAAGAAGCTTCACCAAGCAGAAGAGGAACAGGCTGCTCACTAGCTAGTGGAGGATGCATGAGGTATCGAGGACCAGGGATGGGCTGCAGCAGGAGCAGCCCAAACATGCTCCAGGTGCCCAGGGACATAAGCACGAGAGTCTCTCCCAGGCCCTGCAGACACTTCACACCCATTGTCCCACTCCTCTAACTCCCCCTGCAGTGGGACCAGTGCCAGGCCCCCCAGCACCTCATGGGCCTGAGGCAGGGCCATGGCACGGTCAGCACCAGCGTGCAGTGAGGGCTGGGGGGCTGCCCCTACCCCACTGACGCCAGCACACTGCCCCGTGACTCTCCTGGCTGGAAGTGCAGGAGGGGAGCAGGAGGATGCCGGGAGCAGGAGAGGATGCTGGCTGTGCTCTGGCATGCCCTGCCTGCAGGCAGGGAGGGCAGCTGGGACGCGGCTGAGACACTCAGGGTGTATCAGTCTGGCAGCAGCCCTGCCCCGCGGGGAACCCTGCCCGGGCACAGGCGAGTGACGGCGCAGCACAAGGACACGGAGCTCTCCCGGGGCGAAGGTGCTCGCTCGGCACGGCCTGACGGCTCACACTGCCTGTCCAGGCAAGGGCAGGGGGAAGGCACGACAGGGGCAGAGGATGGGGAAGAGGGGCTGGGCAGGGGTGAGGTTAGCAGGAAACACGAGAGCAGCAGCACTGCAGGGAAGGATGCAAGCTGAGTGATGGGGAAGTCCTGTTATTTGGGGTAAGCACCATCATTACCAGGCTGTGGCTCCTGGCTCAAGGGATCCCTCTCAGCACCTCACACCCTAGCTGCCAGATCTTGGGCAAGGAATGAGCACAGAGGATGCGCTGGAGGCAAGAGGGACTGGAGATAGAGGGCAGCCACAGGAGATCACCCAGGGGGATGCCCTGCTGCAGAGCAGGGGCAGGGCAAAGCAGAGAAGGACAGTGGTCGGTACATGCAGCATAGAGGGTGATGCTGTCCCATCCCAGTCAGCAAGGGCAGCTGATGCAGAGCCACTGTCATGTCCCTTGGCCCCACAGAGAGGGGATGCCCCATGAGCACCTCTCCCCTTAGGGTCTGCTGGACACTCAGGCTTCATTCGGTGCCTTCATCCTCATAAGCACGACCTGGCTCTTCTTCCTACAGCCATAGACCACCAGCGCCACCAGAGCAGCAAGCAGGGCCACACACACCAGCACGATGACTGCCACCACCACTCCACTCTGTATGCGTGTCAGCCCCCACTGCCCTCTCTCCTCCTCCTCTTCCTCCTTCTTTTCCTCCTTCTCCTCCTCCTTCTTTCCCTCCTTCTCTCTCTCCTCCTCCTCCTCCCGTGGGGAGATCGGCAGCCCCGCGGGGGGCTCCGTCCAGGCGCCCTCTGGCGATGCTGCCTCAGAGCTGTGAGCAGGAAGGTGGGTGCTGGGATGGGGGGAGGCAGTGGGGGACTGAGTGTCGAGGAACTGGTCCCGTGGCAGCTCAGCGATGGGGGTGCCCAGCAGGGCAGGAGGCTGGGCACACAGCGGGGGTGTCTCACCCACCTTGTGGGGATTGTCCTCCAGCCAGCCCTGCAGGGGCAGGATGCCCTTGTCACAGCGCCAGGAGTTGTTGTGCAGCCTCACCTCTCGTAGGGTAGTCAGGGGGGAGAAGATGCCGGCGGGCAGGTACTCCAGGGCATTGAAATGCAGCTGCAGGCGTTGCAGCCCAGGGGTGGCCCGGAAGAGGCTCCGCGGCAGCGCCTGCAGCTGGTTGTGGTGCAGGGAGATGTTCTGCAGCTTGGGCAGCCCCTCCAGCACCCGGGCATCCAGGCGGCGCAGCGCATTGGAGTGCAGCGACAGCTCCAGCAGCTCCCCCAAGCCCTGGAAAGCCCCCGGTGCCACCGAACGCAGCCGGTTCTTGCTGAGAACCAGGAGCTGCAGCTGGGTGAGATTGCTGAAGACACCAGTGGGGAGGCTGGAAAGCTCATTCTCGTAGAGCCACAGCTCCCGCAGGTTGGGCATGGGCCCAAAGGCACTGGGGGAGATGTCCCGCAGGCGGTTGACATGCAGAGTGATCTTGGCAAGGGAGTGCAGGGGCAAGAAGATGCCACTCGGCAGAGTGGTGAGAAGGTTATTGGACAGGTAGAGCTTCTGCAGATTGGTGTTGTGCACGAAGAGCTCCGGGGACAGTGTCTCCAGCTGGTTCTGGTGCAGCCCCAGCTCCTGCAGCTCTGGCAGCCCATCAAAGGTGCCCTCTGGGATCTGCCGGAGCCGGTTCTCGTAGAGCCGCAGCACCTGCAGCCGTGCCAGCCGCTCGAAGGCCCGGGGCGGCAGGCGGTCGATGTTGTTCCTGGCCAGGTTGAGCTTGGTGAGGCTGGTGAGCTGGTCGAACACCCCCTCCTGCAGCTCCTGCAGGTTGTTCCCATGCAGCTGCAGCTCCTTGAGGTTGCTTAGGTGGGTGAAGTGGGAAGGCTCAACCTGGAGGATCTGGTTACTGGAGAGAAGTAGAGACTCCAGCTTGTCCAGAGGCTCGAAGACCTGCACAGGGAGCTCCTGCAGCTTGTTGCTGGCCAGGCTGAGGTAGCGCAGGTCGGGCAGGTGCTGGAAGGCCCCAGGGCTTATGTGGGACAGGTTGTTCTTCTCGATGCGCAGCCCGATGAGCAGGGAGGCGTTGCCAAAGGATGCCTCACCCAGCTCGGTGATGCGCGTGTTGATGATCTGAAGGGTCATGGCATTCGCAGGGATGGGGCTGGGGACCGTGGTGATGCCGGCACCAGAGCATTCCACCTGGGCGCTGCGGACGCACTGGCACTGCTCTGGGCACTGGCCACTGGCCAGCTGGATGCCCACCAGCAGCAGCAGCCACCGCTGCCAGTCTCCCTGCTCCATTGGGCCTGCAGAAACAAAGGTGGGGGGTTCAGCCCCTGCAATTTCCCAGCTCCCAGGGCCACTGCCAGGGGTGGGTGCTGCTTTCTCCCTGCAAAAGGCCACCAAGTCTGTGGCCATTCCATCCCCAGCATGGCAATGAGGCAGAGGAGGGCAGGCAAGGAAGGTTGGGGGCAGGCAGGGCTTGGCACAGCCCAGGCAGGAGTGCAAAGTGAGACAGAGCTGGGGGCCACACTGCCTGGCTGCCATACCACAGCTATTAGCGGCATCCCTGGCATCCCACCTCTCTTGGCTCCTCTGGCAGCCGGGAGCATGGTTTCCTGTTTTACAGAGTGTGATGAGCTGTTGCCAGCAGCACTGCCTCCTGGCATGGCCAAACAGCCCAGACCTTGACCAGAGCCAGCCTGGGGCACCCACAGCCACGCAGGACCCAGGGTGCTGGGTGCTCCCCCCGGCATCCAGGAGGGCCCTTCCAGCTCTGCCTTGGCAGCGAGCGGCCCTGAGCGTCTTTTGCAGAGCCAAGAGCAGTGCCAGCCCCCACTGCCCAGGCACGCTTTAGCTCCAGTCCTGCAGGAGCTTGGGTCAACAGGACCCTTGCCAGCTCCCCAGCACAGGCTGGGTACAGAGGTGGCCCTGTCTTCACCCCATTCCCAGCAGAAGGTCTGAGCCCTGGCTGATTTTTGCCATGAGAGCAGGGTGTCTGTTGTGGGCACCTTTTGCAGGCTGGTCCCAGGGGTGGTGCCCAGAGAAGCAAGAGCTTTACAGAGAAGTTATCCATTCCCCCATAAGCACAGACACCATGGACACCCTCTCCTCCCTCCCTAGATTAAAGCAGCAGCCTTGTGCCAGGCTGGCATGGAGCAGCCCCCCTCTAACAGCTTTGAGGGCACAAGGGAGGGGGAAAACCTGAGCACAGCTCAGTCAAACAGGCGAGTCCAGCAGCACAGGGGTGTGGCCACAGTGCCCCAGCTGGCACAGCACCCTGGGGTGCTGGAGCACAGCCCCTGCCCCCCTCCCTGCACTCCCTCCAAGGAACATGCTTGCTCTCAGGCAGGGAGGAACCCTCCATAAGCCAGCAGTTTATGTTTCCCATATGGAAACAATCTGCATCCAAGAACAGCTTTGTTTATAGTGAGCCATTTATAAACTTCCCCAAAGGCTCAGCACATCAAAAGCCCAGCTCATGTCACTCCCTGGTAATGCAGTGCAGAGAGCATCCATACTGGAGAGACCTTCAGGAAAGGCAGCTGGAAACAATTGATCTCCCTTTTTCTTCTAGGGACAAAAAAATTACAGACCAAGAGGCCAAATATTCCCTACTGCTCAGCCCCTCAGCATCACACTGCTCCTAACATTAGCCCCCCAAAATGTTACTTTGCCTCCCTTAATTTTCTCTGTTGATAATTATTTGAGATACATTGCCCGTGTAACTCTCTCAGCTCCCACAGTGTGTAAGTGGTCTCACTTTTTTTGGAGAAGCCTTGCAAGATAAACATCTCCATCAAAACAAAAGGTGCTGAACATGCAGATCCCACCAATGCACCACCAACCCTCGGAGCTGCCCTGGGAGTCCCCCAGACCCGGGGCTGCTCACAGGGGCAATAGCAGAGAGGAGACTTACCCGAGTGTCCTGCAGCCACGAACGCCGAGTGAGCACAGCCCCGTGCTGGCAAGAGAGCTGAGTGTGGTTCACGCTTCCCCTCCCAGTATATAACCCGTCCAAATCAATGAATCAGCACAGGGGCAGTGTCGAGGTTAGGGAAAGCGCTGGAGCAGAGCTGCTTCCAACTCCTATTTCCTCGGCAGAGCAAGCATCTCAAGGATGGAGTTTCCCTCTCCTGAACCCCCGTGCTCTTGTTTGAAGACAAGAAGATGGCCCCATGAACATGCTGCTCATGTCAGCCAGTGTAGCAGCTCAGCCCCAGGAACCCCCCTGGTCCCCAGTGGGACGGCTGTGTGCCTTCACTGGCACACTTCACACCAGGGCTGCTCCATGGCATCACCTCAGCACAAACACAGAATTTGTCTCCCCATCTGTGGCTCCTGCAAGTGTCAGGACCTCCTGCCCAGGGCTGCTGGCACAGGCAGACCCCCAGTACACCGACCCTGCCCATGTCACAGCTCTCATTTCCCCTACAGCCACAGATGCAAACAGGCCAGGCACCCATGAGCACACACTCCAGGCTCTGTCCTGTGAGCACCTCAACCAGCTCTGCCAGGAAACAGGCACCACGCCAGGGCCAGTGGCTATGCAGGTGCCAACCAGGGGTCAGGTTGCTTCAGAGAGCCCTCAGCCTAAGCCAGAGCACTTCCCAGTAGCCATGAGGAACACTTGGGCACTGAGGAACACCCATTGCAGGCATCCCTGCAACTCCAGAGCAGCACACACTGCCATCCCCCAGGAGCTGCCGCTGCTCTGGACCCTCAGCAGTCCTGACACACAGGTGATGGAGCCTGGCACACAGGGGTGTTTGGGAAGCATCCAAGCCATCCCATCCACTTCTTCAGGGGCACCTGATGCCACCCCTACCCTGCCCCCTCCAGCCCACATGGGTACACCAGGGTGCCCTTGGTCCCCACCACCTAGCCCAGGTCTCCCCACCCTGCCCACCTCTCCAGGGCTGTCCCAGTCCAGCAGCTAACGGGAACGGATATCCTTCAGGAAGCAGCTGAGAGTCACCACACGTGGCCCCTTTGGGCTTCCTGGAGCCAGAGCAGTCCCATGCTAACCACGGGGCAGCTGGAACTTGCCTGACCACATCTAATCCCGCCTGAGCCCACCCATGTTTCCGCCAGTTGGAGCAGCCCCTGCTCAGGTCCCAGCTGGTGCTGACAAGCTGCTCAAGATGAGAACAGCATGGGGCTGCTGCCAGAGAAGGGGGAGGAAGGCGGCCCCCATCCCCACACCGCAGTGTGTCGTGCTGTGAGGGGTGGGAGGGTGCAGGGCAGTGGAAGGGACAGCAGTCCTGTTCAGAGAGGGGACCAGACCAGGATAAACAGCAAACTGCAGGGATGGAGAGCAGAGTTCCCAGACAGTCTTGGAGGGAGGAGACAGGGATCGTGGGAAGATGGTAGGGAGTGGGACCTCAGCTAGAGGCAACTGCCACCACTGCCATAGCCCCAGCTGCCATAGGACATGCTGGATGGCCATGGACCCCTTTCTGGCTGGGGAGTGAGTATGGAGGTTGAAACAACTCCCTGGCCACGCTCTCTGCCTGCTCCAGGGCAAAACCCAGACATTTGGGCAGAGAGGAAGGGCACTTCGAAAACACCACCCCCCAAGTGCTCTAGCTCACACTCTATTGACACAGCAGATTTTCCCAGAATCATGGTTCCCAAAATAATCTCCCTGCTTTCTTGACAGCAGTGCAGCCGGAGGTCAAGGCTTGGGAGCTGCCCACTCCCTGCAGCCCTGGCATGAGAGCAGGGCTCTGGCAGCCTTATCACAGCCTTATCAGGCTCTGTCTGCCCACTGCCAGCGCTGCTGGGCTCCTGCCCGCTCTGACTCACCCAGAAGCACACAGCTTTTTAGCAAGGCAACAGAGAAACTAAATCCCAGTACTTCCGATGCCCAAGCCCAATTTAAGAGAGGAATGTCTGGTTCACCTCCTTCCAAGCAGTGCTGCCCCAGGGATTTAGTGGTGGGTACCCTCAAACACCCCGCCCCAAGAGGGGGGTGATCAGGTTATGATCCCTACTGCCACACAGAGTGCCCAGAGTTTCAGAGAAGTCCAGTTAACAGCCCTGACAAAAATCCACTGGCCTCTACCTGGGCCTTGGGAACCTGGCTCTGGCTGGGAAGGATGACTTATTTTCAAGACATTCCTAAAAATAAAGGCACAAGCCCGTGCACCACTCCTGCAGCTGGAGGTGAGCGCATGGGAGCTTGGCTACTCACAAGGCAGAGAAGCAGAGGGTGTGAGAGCTTGGGACAGCAGCACAGACACACCCCACACATCTGGAGGGGAGAGGCAGCTCCCAAGACAGCATAAGGATATGACGGAGGGTGAAATTAGCATTTTTGCAGGGAGAGGCTACTCCGCATAGCCAGGAGCTCACACAGCGCTGGATGGGGTGGACCAAGTCTCCCAATGCTGGGGGAAAGCCCCACGTCCAGCATTGCTCTGCGGACCTTTCTCACCTCCAGCCACACCAGCCAGAGGCTGAACTCCCCTGACCAAGCTTGGGATACTGTGGAGCCACTGCCAAATCCCTGCACCTCCAAGGAGGCTATGGAGCCCCAGAAGAGCAGTGTCACTTATTACTGGGGAGGTCTGCCTTGCTACAGGACAGAGTACCAGTCCCGTGTCTGTCTGTCCGTGCTGGCATTGCTCCAGTACATCTCCACGGCGAGGGTGGCGGATGCAGCAAAGCTGAGAGTCTCTGAATCACCAAGGGACTCGAGACTGCTTGGAAAAATTCATGTAATCGCTAAAATTAGTAGCTTGTGGGCTTGGCTGGGAGAGTGCATTGTTCATCTGCCAAGCAGCTGAGCACACTCATCCGCTCCCCGCAGCCCCTGCTCCCCCCTCAGCCCCTGCTCCCTGTACACCTCCAGCTCCTGGCTAAACTGGCACCCTTGGTGGGATGGAACGTCCCCAGGCCCCACCACTCCCCACAGTGCAGTGCTGGGACCCCCCCAAATTACTTTCCACTGCTGTAAAGTGCCAGCCCCATTACAAGAAACCCTCATGTTGGCCCCTGGTGCTCGCAGAGACCGGCTCACCCAGGGCATCAGGCCAAACACTGCTGAAGTGGAGGAGGAGGGTGGAGGGCCGGGCTAAGGGCCATGGAGGGGATCCTCCCCATGTTCCAGTGTAGTGGAACACCTCTGGGTCTGAGCCCTGCAGCAGGACCCACAGGCTCAAGCCAGAGCTGAGAGGTGAGGAAAGGGGCATTAGTTCCTCAGGGACTGGTGCTGGGGCCCCCCTACCCCTTAGAGAAGCACCAGTAGCCCCTACCTCACCCCATGCCCACCCTAATCCCCTGAGGAACCCAAACCAGAGAGCTCCTCAATAGAGGAAATGATCAAGCCCCAGTGGCATGTTCAGCTCCCTGCTCAGGGACTGCAGGGCCAGATGATGCCCTCTCTGCATCTGACCCAAGGGATGGGGTCATCCTGCTTTCCCTGGGAAAGTGCTTATGCAAAGTGGGAGCTTTGGGAGGGAGCAGCAGCCCTGGTCCCTCCAAGATGGTCGCAGGGATGGCCATCAGGCTAACCTCCATCCGAGCACCACCACAACCCTCCTGGAGCTCAAGGGAAATGGCATGTAGGATCTCAAGCACCAGTGGGGTTCACCCCACCAGCAGAACCGTCTCCTCCAGACTCGGCCCTGGCCCGAGCGATAGCAGAAGCACGCAGGGCTTGGCACAGGCTCAGGGCAGCACTAGGCTGGAAGGAATGTGGGGCTCGCAGCCAAGTCCGCCTGGAGAGATAATCCGAAGCGGAAAGAGCTTGTCCGATGGGCTCTGAGAGGGGGGAAGGACCGGCTGGAGCAGGAGGCGATGGCGTGGGGCTTGTGCACTATGAGGTGTTTGCTGGACCAGCTTCACCCTGTTCTCCATCTCTGTAAAGCCCCCCCAGGCACCAGGAAGGGCCCCAGTGACCTCTTCCCAACATCCGAAGGGGGAAGGGACCCCATCTCTCCCCAGGGGAAGGTAGCAGAGGAGTGTTCAGCAGGCTGCAGAACTGCTGCCAGCCATCACTGGCTCCCTGCCCCAAGCTTTTCCCATCCAGAGAGACACAAAGGCACAGCTGGAAGCCTGGCACGTCAGTCCTACAGCAGAGATTGCACAAGAGGGGCTGAGTGGTGGGGGAGTGGTGGGGGATGGCTCCGGGTGCTGCTGGAACAGCAGCCCCCCACCCTGAAGTGAAGTGGGACTTGCCCCGTATAGCCCAAGCAAGAAGCTGTGCCAGGGTTTATCCATTCATAAACACCCAGAAGAGAAGGGAATGTGAACCCAGACTTTGGCAATGAAAACGGAGGCATGACACCTCCTTAGCTTGTCTGTTCCTAGAAGGGACAAAGCAGGAGCTTCTGGGCCCCTGACCACTGTGAGAGTCTGTAAACACTCACAGCCCCAGCCTTGTCCAGAGGGTATGTGCCTTTGGCTGCGTCTCCTCCCAGCTCCTCTGTCATCCATAGGAAATGCTCTGATATCAGGGCTGCCAAGTCAGCAGCCCCAGGCAAGACCTGCTGGTCCAGGCCTGGCGGAGACACAGTCAATGCTCCATAATGTCAGGACCCACTTGACCAGGGATTAGGTACCTCCAGCTCTTCCAGCCCACTGTCTCCCCAGCCCAGCCTGGTGGCAAAGGCTGGGCAGTAGATTATGGAGGTCTGGGCTGCAGGGAGGGAGAAAAACCTTTCCTATTCAGTGGCAAGGGATCGGTGCCTTGAGGCAGCAGCCAGGCAAGGCTGCCCAGAGGGGGTCTGAGATGCATCTGCAGTTTTCCCAAGAACCCTCTGCTGCCTTCCTGCTTGCCTCAGCTGCATCATGCTGACCTTTTTGCCTCTCCGGGAAAAACAGAGATGGAGTATAAATAAGGATATCCTTGGATTTTTCAGGCCAGGGAATTTTGCAGGAAGGGCTGAGCTCTGTTGGGCAAGAGACAATGAATCACAAGCACTCAAAACAGGACACCTCAGAGGAAGAGTTAGTAAAACACCCCAGGCTCTCATTGCTCCAGCCTTTTGTTGCCTGATGACTTCACTTCCCTGTCTGGCTCAAGCATGGGGAAAGCCCGATGACAACATATGAGGAGGAATCATCCTCCTCTTAGCACTTGCCTGTGTGCAGCCGCCTGCCAGAGCCCCCACGTGCCAGAGCCGGAGATCAGTGACTTCATGTGGGAGCCAAGGAGCAGCATGGGGGCCCAGCTGGCCCCTCTGCAGGGCTGGGGTGGCCAGAGGAGGGTTCAGAAAAACAGCAGCTGGTGCTGCCCCACTGCCCTCCCTGAGGCCAGACATCAAGGTGTCGTACGCCCACATGGCGAGCAAAGGGGTGCTTTTCCTTAGAAATCAGATACTGTGCATGCCTGGAGCCAGGAGAACATTTCCTTCTCCAAGGAGAATGATCACCAGCATGGCTTGTAGAACCATTTTCTTGCTAGTCTTGATTATACTGATCTCCTGCTGCTGGAAGCAGATGCCTGCGTGGCACCATATGACAGCGCTGGAGCTGGCACAACACTAAGTGGTCATTACAGCTGTCCAACAAGAACCTAAATTTGTAACAACTGTCTCCTTTTAAACACCAGCATGCAACCACCCAGAGCCACCACCAAGAGAGCTTCCTCTTAGTTTTGTGCTTCTCTCAAATGTATTGCAATAAAAATTCTGGAGCATCTGTTTTCTGAATCCAGTCACAGTTTGCTTTGCACCAGTTGTAGTGACTGGCATTTCTGCTTCTTTAGAGATAGCTCTAACTGCCATTTAGCCAGGCTTACTAAATTGTGTTAAACCTCACAGCAAGACAATGGTCATTTCACACCACAGAGTCACATTTCTCCTTTCACAGCCTGGAAGAGGAATTCAAGCCGAGCAGCAGAATGCCCTGAAACAAAGCAGAAATACTTTATTCTCACTGCCTAGAGTAACACACAGAAGGGAACCAGCCACAAATCTGCAGCAAATGCAAGCTTTCTTCACCTCAGGTCTGTATTGTGCCATTTTAAGGCCATCCAGAAACGCCCTCAATAGTTAGAAACTCAGTACAACTAAAAAAGGACTCCTGGAGTACAGGCTCTCTGGCCCAAGGAGCCGGGGAACCACATCCAAAGGTTTTCAAGCACAACATCAGAGCTTTTAAGAACAAGCTAGGTCACATAATTAAAAGGTAATAGTTAAATCCAAGAGCTACCAAAGCACAGGCAGTCTGACAGCTACCAGTCTACTTACAAACTAAAATATTTATATAATTCAAATAATAATAAGCATTTTGGTATGAAGACCAAAACCCACATTATTGCCTTGTAGTTGTCTTTGCATATCAACACTTGAAAGGCCTGGAAGTCAGGGAGTAGCACTATGTAATAAGATAAAAAATAGCCAGACTGAAAATGCTACTGCACACTCCAAGCTGATGGAGTTGTGTACGTTCCCCAGTCAGCTTCAAAACAGTGGTGACACTTCAGGGCCCTCAGTTCAGGCAGGCTCCCTGCTGCTTGGCTGCATGCCTGTTTGGCTAGCCAACCCAGGAGAGATCATGCCTTTCTCTCCCACCTCAGCCAAGACCAGCTCCAATCTAATACATTCCTGTGAAGCCCAGCCTCAGTTCTGGGCATCTGCCTGTTATTCTGGTTTCAAGATTCCCTGCATCACACAGCCAGTAACACCTTGCTTTTTTCAGACCACTGGCCAAAGTTTAAGGATGAAAGTGTTTACTTCAAATTCAGAGCTGTAGTAACTTTACAAAGTTTCCAACTCTCCCCCTCCCCAGACAAACAATAAAGTACATCAAGATTATACTTCCTATCTCACCATCTTCCTCTGCTGTTAGCTTTAAATGGTACCCCTTCCTCATGCCACATCATGGAAAGGGGCTGAGGACAGAGAACAAAAGCTAAGACACTTGCATCGTACCATTCCACCCACACTCCCATTGTTAAAAGGTCCTCCCCAGCATCTCCTCCCAAAAATACCATTTGTTTTCTCAATAAGGAGACAAAACAGGCAGTATAAGGCATAATAGCATTTGGAGTACTTTGGGCACTCTCTAAAGCACAGTTAAAGCCATGTTCCTGTGTAGAGCTCCCTATGTTAATGCCACCCCACTGGAGCAGTGTGAGCAGGCACAGGGCTGAGGGCCAAAGCAGGAAACCCACAGAGGACATGTTGAGGTGACCACAGGCACTTTCAGCTCTCCCTCTGGGTTCCTGCACCAGATGCTGTAGCAATGTACAGTGATTACAGCCACTTCTGGCAAAAACTGTGATGTACATAAAAGCATATTTTCATTATGCTGTAAAGCCAAGGTCTTTATGATTCTTGCTATGAAGATTTGTAATCCAGATCTGAATCGAGTATCAATTGCTTAAACTGCATCCAAGGCAACGCTTCTAATCCTCTCTTGGGTTATATGCTCTATCTTCTTAACAATCTTATCAGAACTACAGGCTGAGCAGGAGTATTTTTGGAGTGCAAGAGTTGCCTGGTTTTACCCATCACATACAGACTGAGCACAATGGTTACAGTCTGGAGTGCTAAAATCAAACTGTGAAGGCACAAGAATAGCTGGCAATAAGCAATTCTGGTATTAAAATAGGGTTTAGCACTCCTGTGGGCTGGCAACTCATCCCACCAGACAAGAGTAGTTAAATCTGTTCCTCTGACACTGTCAGTTCGTGCTATGACGCTGGGAGAAGTTTGTATTGGAACATCTGAGAAATGAAACCCAGGCTGTCCAACATCTTCAACATGGGAGTAGGTAAAACCTGGAGTCTCAGGAGGAATTGATGTGGGTGTGCTGCTTTCCATGTCAAACACTGCTGTTACAGAAATCTCCCAAGATGATCTTAACTGCTCCGTTACAGGAGACGTCAAGGTCTGGGAATAAGTTGAGCTGAAGGTCTGATACGTAATGGCTGTGGTTGGCAGGCACTTTGGGCCATCAATGGTTAGAGCCACAAGAGAAATATTCTGCAGTGCCAGTGGGCTGTTGCACTTTAGAGATGGCACATCTTTAACTATCTCCATGCTCTTTTGGAGCCACTCTCGGAAGCCAAGAATTTGGCAATCACATTTCCAAGGGTTGTCGTCAAGAACAACTTCTTGCAGCTCAGGTAAAGCGGCAAAGAAGTCTGCAGGAAGAGACTGCAGCTTAGTACTATTCAGGTAAACCTTCTGGAGGTGCTTGAGATTATGAAAGAGGTCTCTAGGAAGAACCTCAAGCCTTGTATCAAAGAGGGAAACGTTCTGCAGTTTCTGAAGGCTCAGAAATATGCCCTCTGGCAAACTGGAAATATTGTTTGTATGCAGAGAAAGGCCTCGCAGTTCATTCAGGCCACTGAACACGTTCCTTGGAAGAACCGTAAGCTCTGGATTAAAACTCAGCACAAGAAGCTCTAAATTTGTCAAGTTACTGAACACAAAATCTGGTATCGTTGAGAGCTTTGTGTGATACAGCCACAGGCTACCAAGATGCCTCATTTCTCCAAACAGTATTTCTGGAAGAGACTTCAGTGGGTTCCTGTATAAGGTCAGTTTACACAGATCATGCAAGTGCAAAAAAAGCCCAGAAGGCAAAACCTCAAGCTTGTTTCTGGAGAGCGTCAGGCGCCTCAGTTTGTGAAGACAATGAAATGCATCAGGGGCGATGGACTGGATGTTATTGCAATGCAGGAAGAGTTCCTGCAGCTCCGTCAGGTTATCAAACATACCAGACTCTATTGACGACAGCCTGTTAAAATATAGCATCAGCTTCTCAAGCCTGGCTAATGCACTGAATATATTTCTAGGCAGTGCTGCTAAGTAATTTCTTGACAAGTTCAGTACTTTGAGTTTGGTAAGATTCTTCAGCATGTCACTAGGAAGTGCTGTTAGTTGGTTTTTGTTCAAGTACAGTTCCTCCAAACTAGCTAGTTTGTCAAACAGATTTTCCTCGATGGATTTCAACCTGTTACTTTCGATGATCAATTGCTGAAGCTGCACCATGTCATCAAACACTTCTGGAGGAAGCTCAACAAGCTTATTATCTAGCAGTTTGAGGATTTTTAGATTTCTCAACCCTTTAAAAGCCATTGGTGAAACCAGAGAGATGTTGTTTGAAGACAAGATGAGATGCTGCAGTTCCACCATCCCAGAAAAAACATCCTGCAAGTACGGCACATTAGTGTTCGTTATGTGGATTTGTGTCATGTTGCAAGGCAGATTTAAAGATGCCAGGTCTTTTATGTGGGGACCCGAGCAATGAACTGCATTTTTTGAAGAGCAGTCACACTTCTCAGGACAAACCGATGCATCCAACTGGAAGAAAAGCTTGATCATCAGTGACAAACGGAACACCAACATCCTTGTTGAACTGCCAGAAACATTAGCTGTTACAAGAGATAAGAGAGAGTCAGGATTTGATCACAAGTAGTTAATAACTTAGCAGCTCACAAAGATGTGTGATTATATCATAAAACCTGCAAATGTGTGCAAAATTTCTCCTGGCTTGAAAGCAAACTTCAAAATCTCTGTTACTGCAAATATTTATAAGCTGCTCAGCTTACACTGAGAGGTACAGATAAAGGTCTTTTGTAAATCAAGTATTCCTTGTTTATGTTTGTACTAGTCAAGTATAAAGAAAGCATATAAAAACCATGATGAAACTCTAAGTAGTCATAAGATATGTATTTATTTGAACAGAAAAGCATTACAAAATCACAGAATGGTTTGGGTTGGAAGGGACCTTAAGGATCATCTAGTTCCAACCATGGAGTGGGAGGGACACCTTCCACTAGACAAGGTTTAGTACATTATACTAAAGTACATGCAGAAAATCTTTTTTAAAAATTATCAAAAGGTCCTGCACCCACAGTATTTTTCTATTGTGGGTTATCTGAGGTTTAAAAATAAAGTTTAGCCTGCAAAAACAGATAATGGAGGTAAAAAGGGCATCCTATATTTTAAGTGGCAAAAAGCAAAACAGCACAGTTCAGTTAAATCATGTCTCAGCATTTTCAAATGATCGCTTCTTGGAACAGCCCAGGAACACACAAAAAGCAACAGGCTATTTTTGACATAGCCTTAAATAACACACAAGAGCCCACGTGGCACAGGACAGCCTCTGATAACCAACAAGTCTCATTTCAACAGCTTAATGCAACACCAAGTTATCCCTGGTATTAAAAATACAGTGAAATGAGAGGAAAAAAGTGCCACGAAATTAGATAGAAAGTTGTAGCAATACAGGTAAATCTGCATGAAACATACCACAAAGTTGAAAAGTTGTATAGATTTCCAAACAAAAAAAGGAACAGGAAAGCAATCATTGTAGCTATAAATGGTAATATTTAAAAGAGCAAGTTAAACAGAAATCCAGTCTAGAAATACTTCCTTAGTGAAATCAAGAAGTCCAAGTGCATCATAAACCTGGATGTCAAACACCTGGTTGAGCAGCAGGATAAGCAGCAGCTGGGACAGCTGGAGTAGCTACACAACTTCCACAGACATAACTGGAATAGCTGTCTTCTGCATCAGGAACACTGTGAGAGGAGGACTTCATCCCAACATACCCTTTTCCAGGGGCAAGGACAAAGGTCTCTCATACCAACCCCACAGACAGACATGGGTACAACTCCCATCATTTAAGTCAAGGGGAACAGCAGAGCTTCTCATGCACCTGAACTGCTGACAAGAACATACCATACCATACAGACCCGAAATAGCTGCAGATCCAAACCAGCTGCTGCATTTAAAAAAAAAAAAAAATCAAAAGGGAGTGCTTAAAAAGAAAAAAACAAACTTAAAAAAAATTTTGTTTAGGTTCAGAGTACTGAGGTCTGGTAAAATCTGCATCCCTTCCTCGGGAAGGGAAGGACAGGGCATCCAGTGGTATCAACTACCAGCAACACAGTGCCACAAAACAAGATCTTACTGGGTCTTCCACAGCTCACTGAATGAGACGTGCATCACAAAGAGAGCACAAGATGTCACTTTTCCAAAGGTCTTTTTCCATGTCAAACAAGAATCTTTTAGAGAATCTCACCCTCCTAGTAATCTGCACCCTCCAAACTGACTCTCTCTCAGAAACCAGTGATGCTTCTACCTCAGTCAACTTGTAATCCAGCCAATCCCCCATGAGTGGCATCCTCCATGCAGAAACAGACTAAGAAATTTCTGTTTCAAGCTCTGACTGGCATCTCAACCTGCACCAACTCAATCCAAGACCACAGCAGAACTACAAAATTCAGTGAGACAAGAGAAGTAAGGATATAGAGAACCAAACAGGGGAAAAAACCCCTTGAAACTGTTATGCTATAGACTGCAAATGCAGGTCCCTCAGAGGGCATGACTGCAGGTCAGAGTCTGTAAAATAAGAAACAGGTGCTTACCTTTTTTACTTTTTTCCAAGTTCCTAAACTCACAGAAGCATGAGAAAGGAATTTTGAGCTGTATCTTAGAAACTTATCTGCTTTTTAGAGGAACTTACTGGGAGCATAGCAGGCAATCAGGCTTCACCATGACTCTGCACTTTAAATGGGAAGTAAACCAGCAAAACGCATCCTCTAGATAACACTTTTACCCATATTTGCCCAACTACTGGGAAAGGCCAAAGAATATTTTAAGCTTCAGAGCAGATTTTTGCCTACAATTACTTATGCAAGCAACCAACTTCCATAGGTTGTATGAAACTCCAAAAGTACAATTTGAGGCCACTCACAGAACAGGAGAAAGTTTTAAGTCACATGCACAATGGCACAAAAACCACTTGGAGCTTCTTTTGACAGTGATATTGGAGTATGGGCTTCAGTCAACCCAGTGCAAATCTGGTGAAGTCAGAAATCTACATTTCCATGCAAACTGTGATCAGAAATTTCAAATTTGTTAGACACGTTCACCACAGTCTGCTACACAGGTGCATTAGGTTTTAAAGGAGTGGACACACCTACTTTAAACAATCAAGCGATTGTACCTTCACAAAGCTGCTCTGACTTACTTTCTTGCAGGATTGGAGTCAAAGAAATTTCAGTAAGGAACTAATTTTTTTTTTACTTAATGCTTTGGCTAAGCATTCCAAGGTCAACACATTTGGTTTCTGGTTTTAACTCAAAGTCTTCTGGGGTGACAGGACAACAAAACCTAGAGCCTGAAAGATTCTGAAAGAGAAAACTGAAGTTTCAAAAAGCTAAGTTTCAAAAATAGTAGCTTGAAATTGAAAGATTAAGTTTCTGTTATTAAGTGACCAGCTATTTCAAGTATTTTGTCTTCAAGTTTAAAATAACGTGCTCTGCCAATGAATGTTTTAATGGAAGGTGAGCCCAAAAATGGAAAAGATTTCTTCATTTCCATGTGATTTTTCTGAAGATGACCGTGACAACAGTGACAGCTCACAACCAGGAGCATTTGCCCAAGAGTCTTTTCAAGATCACCTCCCACGTGTCAAAGAACAGAAGGAACATCTGAACAACGAAAGGTGGAAACAAGTTGCTATCACATGGACAAGGTCTGGCTTTAAAACAGCTCTTATAAACCACCAGGTAAAACTATGGTCAGTATGATCCCACTGCAGAGCAGAACACTGACACACAGCATGCAAACTTCTCCACCCCCACCTTCAAAAATACAGAGGTGCTGATCAAGATACCCATGACGTCAGTGGGAATAAGTCTCTGCTCTTCAGTGAGCTTTAGGTCTAATTCTATACAGAATAATTAAAAACAATTTCATGAAACTAATGAAAGGAGTTAAAATATCTGTTCATTTTAATTTTATTTTCAAAGAGCTTCAGTCACAAAAATGATTTACAAGTCTATTTACAATTCTATTGTACAGTTATTTATGTATGCCTCTTGACAACAGGGTACCATTCTAGAGCAGCAATACATATTTTAAATACAAAGATGTAGTATCATTTCAGATCTAAAAATAAAAAGGAAGCTGAGCTTCTAGAGAGTGCTGTAATGATGAACATTTTAATCTGTGTTAGGCTTGAGGAATGACAAACTGAGTAGTTTCTGATTCACATAATTATTAAACAAGCTGCAGTTTGTTGAAAATAGTTTTAAAAACCTGAAGCTTTACTGTATAAAATTAACATATTCAAGACTCTAAAAATTGTCAAAAACCCACAGCTTTCCCTTAGACATACAAAAACCTAAGTTTACAATTCAGAATTTCATGGGAGAAATCCTACAGAACTTGAGCTCTCTCATTTTGCGATGACCAACATAAGCGTTAAAAATTTGCAGCATAAAAAGGACTCCACATCTGCTTAGTATTATACTGTATATACATATACAGTACAGGATTATTTACCCAATTTGGGATGACCGTTCAGCACAACCTTCATGAAGAAAGAAAAAAAAAATAAATAGAATTAAAAATCCAACAACTTTTTAAAAGTGCAACAGTAAGAGTTTCCAATTTGAAGTTACGATGAATATGGACAGTCAGTTCTGTGGGTGTTTTAGCTGCTTCAACTCAAGCATTATTTGCAGCACTTTCTTTTTACAGTAGATTTAGTTCTATAGTACATGAAACTAGAGTTACTGCTAATTGAATCTGAAGGGAAAAGAGAAAAAAAAAACTTTAAAAATAACCCTGAGGGATATACAATTTCATGATCTTGCAATTTATTTCTAAAAAGTAACATTTATTATTTAGCAATTGCTCTTCTGGATAGACCAGTCCTTTAAGTATGTGCATAAATAATATTTAAAAATCAGTAATATTTACAAATCCTAATACATCAAAATAAAATACGTACAGATTAAAGTCTGCATACACAAATAATTTAATAATAAATCAAACTCCTCAACATAAGGCCAAAATATACAGCAGGAAGAAAATGTCTACCCAGTATCTAGTGGAGTTCACTAAATTGGTCTGTTCACCTGAATTTAGACTTCCAAGATGAACACTAGAAGAGATTTTTTCACTACAGAACGAATTTCATCTTACTTCAAAACAAAAACTGAATACACTAGTGCAGATCTAGTTTGCTGCATTTCTGAAAACCAGAAAAACTAAACTGCTCAAAATGAGAAAAATTATAGGTGGTCAAACTCAGCTCTTGGGCAGGAAGGCATAAATCCCAATAATTGCAGAAAATGCAAAAGCTTATTTTGTGGCTAAACTTGCAACAACAAGAAGGATTCTCAGAAAAGCTGATTTATTATTTTTGATCAAGCGTCAGAGCTCAAGCATGCAACCTCAGGAACATTTACCAACCCTGAACGCAGACCTTGAGGAAAACAGCTCCCATTTGCAAAATATTCAAGTTTACTGTGCTCATGACCCATTAGTCACTCAATTGAGAGACACCTGGCAATTTCAGTTTTAGTAAGAGTTCCCTAAAATGTTCTCTGAAGATAAGCCTACCTTAACAAGCTGTTTCTTCCTCACTTTCTAGGTAAGTCTAATAAACTAGAATAAGACTGGAAAACTACCTTCAGAAACCAAATAAACCGAGAGAAATTATCAGATTAGAGAAAGTATTAAGCACAAAAGCATATAAAAGGGAAAGACACAAATATTTTCTTTGACTTCTCATGGAACAGCAAATCTAAAATGGCCAATGAAATGGAAAGCAGAAGC